GGTCGCAGCCTCGGAGGGCGGCGGTCTCGGGGGTCGGGGTGGCCCTGCTCCGTTGGCTGCCGTGAAACGGGAGGCTTGACGCTGGGCAAGGCTCACCCCGCGCTTGTCTCGCGTTCGTTATCCTTTCGGTGAACGCCAACCCCGGGCCCCGGGGGGAGCCGGAAACCTTTGGCCTTGCTCCATGCAGCTGCTCCTACCTTATCGCGAAGGTAGGATACTTCTTTAGGAAGTGTTTCCTAGGTAGCCAGGGAACATAAATTCCCAAGCAAGAGAGGGAACAGCTTTGGCTAGGCGATCTCCTTGTTTCGCTGGCAGGCAAACCCAAGATTAAGGTGGGCGTAAGCTTGTAAAACCGAGGTTGAATAGCTGATGGAATAACTTACTGAAGGACGTGTTTTACTGGAGCAAGTCCCTCTGAAGGTCATCACAGACTGTACTGGTATCGAGTAATGTAAATATTTTTTAGGCCCAGGACTAATTTTGCTACCTCTGTTCTTCGTACTGAAGGAGGAAGCCCTGGAAGAGGTGCTGTTTTATGCCACCGTCTTTCCTGTAACAGCAGGCTAGTGGAGCAAAGGGAAGATCTAAAGAGACGAGGCAGGTAGTCCCCAAGCTGTCTGCTGCTGAGGTGCTGCCTTTGGTGGTGGTCTCATGGCTTTGCCTTGTACGATCTGATGCCTGCTTCAGGAAATAAGTTTTCCAGTCATTTATGTAAAATAGCCTCCTCCTCTCTTGGCCATTCCCTGTGATTCTCTCAAACGTGGTAGGTCTGTTCTCACAGTTTAGGTAGAGAGAAAGAAAAGTTATTGGAGAGCTTTGAGGAGTTTGTCAGTACTGTTAGACTTCTCTCAGTTTTGTAAAAAATTTTTGGTGCCTGCTGGATTCTGAGGAGCTGCATCGAGAGACACTGTATTTGTTCTTTTTTTTTTTTTTTAATGTACCTGAATACAAGTTATTAACATTGCATGTAAGTTCAGATAATCTACGTTTCACGTTGCCATCAGGGAGCTTTAGCTTTATGATTTTATACCGAGAGTCTGTTTCCATTGCCTAGACCTCTGTAACCGCTGTCATGCGTGATACTATGTTGTACTTGTCGTTTGTACCAAGGTGCAGCATTAAAGGTAGCTATGGCTAGGGTGCCTTGAGTGCAAGTTGACTGACGCATGACCAATAAATACGTGAGAGCTTCTCTGGTAAAGCATCTGTTTCATCTCCCTCTGCTACAGCCTGTGGAGGAGCGGGTGATGACTAGTGTTGCTCAGACAGTTCAGAGGTCTGTGTAGTGGAGCCCTGTGGTCTAACACTGTCGGTAGCCCCAGCGGTGTAAATAGATGCTGCGCAGTGCAATTTGTTTTTTCTCCAAAGTTATGTAAGGACCGTTCCCCATCCTTCCCGCAGTTGCCCTCTTTCTCCTCTTCCCTCTCCCCTGCAAATTGCACAGAACTGATAACTCGGCATCTATGATATCTTGGCACAGTACAGAGGTTGCTGTGCAGTCTTAATTCACTTCCTTGTGTACAAAGTTTTACAACACTGTCTTTACTTTAATTATTGTATGCTGCTCTTCCCCCATGAGGCTGGGTTTTCTCCTGTTACACAGGATTGAACTTTTTTTCTGGAATAAGAGCTTAGAACTGTGCTTCAGTTCTGTCAGAATTTGGCCAGTGAAGTGGGACTGTGGGAGTGAAGGAATCTTCTCATTCATAATTAAGGCAGTTAAGTCCGGTCTTACAGAAACAGGTTCCTGTGTGTTGCTAGGCAAGCCTCTTCCACCAGACTTTCCACTGTTGTATTTTCACGACTGCTTAGGTCCCCTCGATCAGATTTGCAGAATTTCTGACTAACAACTGGAAGGGAAGTGAGCAGGAGCTGTGCTTTGAGCATATAACCCGTTGTGTAACGTCACATACTTCAAAAAGTCAGGCCTCAGGCATTTCAAAATAGGCACCAAAAATTGAGATATTCTGTTCTTTTCTTTGCCACACCTCTTGACATGTAAAGTGAGGGTAACATCCCCTTGCTGATGGAAAGTTGTGGAAATAACTTAGACTTTAAGAGGCAATGTAAATGCTGTAGTAAAGGTGAAACTAATAATTCTAGTTTTAGAATAGTGTATGAATAGGATGCAGTAAGCAATATATGAGGTCACATGTTAACAACAAGCATGTTAAAGATGACTTCATTTTTTGGAATATTCATTTATATTTATGGCTATGAATATGAGCGGATTACTCTTGACTGAAATTAGGAACATATAGGAGACGTTACACTTGTGAGGATTTCTGCTTTGTGTGTGTATCACTTGTCATTTTAATCCACTTATGTTTAAATAAGTTGAGAAGGAAAAAGAAGTGAATGGATGTTCCTTCTTGTTTTGTGAAGTTCTCCGAGTTAGTAAAGATACAGCGAAAATAAACTTCCTCTTTCTTACTGAGATGTCAGGCTAAAACAGCCTTAATTTTCCTTGATGGAAGAAAGGGGATAGAAAAATTACCCCTCCTTAAATTGTTGCTTGGATCATACTGCTCACTTGGTGCTCTGGTGTGGTTTATCCGAGTCATAAGCAGGAGAAGCTGTAGCAATGCCAGACTCTCTGAATGCTAGAACATGCTGCACCTTTTGGCATAATTTGCTACATTTCAACAGCTGCTGGTCTCCAGAGCATGGGTTTGGAGCTGGCAGGAATGGGCTTGTGGAAGGTATGACTGGTGAAAATCCCTGCTCGCTTCTTACTGTGGTGATTATGCCTCAGAGGAGAGGATGGGCGCGCAGCTCAGAACTAGAGTCTCTCTCTCCAACTTGGCATTTTCACTGTTCTTATCACTGACCTGTATAACAGCTGGTGCTAGAGATTGGCTGGGAACTGCGACTGCCCTAGAGAAATGGACTCTCACCTTCGATAAATAGACAGTTACCTGAAATCCTGAACGCGTGAGAACTAGATGAGTAAGGAGCGGTGCAATACTGGTAAGACGTGAAGAAGTCATATTGGACAGTAATGATAAAACATACGAGCACTGAATAGTTGAGTAATGAAAGAAAATAATGAGTAAAAAGACCAAAAAAAAAAAAATTCAAATTAGAAATTTGTTTTACCTGCGGATCACTAGCAGATGGCTGATCTGCTACAGAAGAAATTCTACTTAAGTTATAAGTACATTTCAAAGATGGTTTAAGAGAATCTGTGAACAGTAGCCTCAGTATCAACAAAGGTTAAGGACCGAGGGACTACCATCTCGGGCACAGCTCTTCCTTCATTATCTTAACACTATAATTGTATGAAGTAATTGGATACTGTTAACAGTAAATTAACGGATTCCGAGGTTAAAAAAAAAAATGTATCTTGCTAATATGAAATTATCTCTTTCCATATAAGGTTAGGTAACGTGTCTCTTGGCTGTTTGTAATCAAGCTGGCTTTCTGACCTCTGCCCTGAGTCTCGTTCAATTTGTGCTTTTGAAACTTTCACCCACAGCGTTTTCTGGTTCATCGTCTTATTTTCTGTTAGCGTGACAAAGCTAAGTAGGGCTTGTGCTGCCTATGTGTTTTTTTTTTTTTTCCTCCACTCATGCTTTGTTAAGTTTTGACATGTTTGTTAATATATTGGGGCCTGCTAAATGAGCTGAGATTAAATAATGTTCTACGCAGGCTCAGGGCTGGAACAATAATTAGTTGGTAAATTATTTAGGCTTAACAGATTGGTGTTACACTGAAAAAATGTGTGATCTTTCATTCTCTTGCTGTCTCATCTGTATAACTGGAATCCAGTCTCTTGGGAAACATATTCCTGTCTGGTCGGCTTCAGTTCCAAGGCTCTGCCCAAAGGGGAAAAAAGGAAGAAAGATACTCCAGAAAAAGCTGAAAAGGATGAAATCTTTCTTTATATTAATACCTGCCCCCCACCCCGTACTGAGATCCCTAACTGCAAGCTTTGCAAGGCCCATGCATTGGTTCTCCCCAACAGAGATTCAAGTATACCGGTGTACAGGGACACTTAATACTCAAGTTTGTGAAGGGCACAGCAGCAAAACAACGTTATATTAAAAGTATGACTTAACCTGAACGAATCACACTGAATGACACCATATTCACTCACTGCAAATCAGTATTTTAGAACAACAGTTTAGGTTTTAGTGCCAAATTTATTTTAAAGAGCAGTGTTGACTAGTCACTGGTATTAGCCCAAATCGTTTTGAAGGCTAGGCTTGCTTTACACTGCTGCTGTAAACGTGGAGAGGTTGCCTTTAAGTTTTCTTTAAGGGTAAATCTACTGAAACACAGATTTCCTGGTTTGAAGACTTCTCTAACTCCACACTGGCTGCAAAGTAGCACTTATCATCCTGTCACGGAAGGTGATTTTCAAGGTCATGTCTACTTGGAAGCCTGCCTTGATTTGTGCTCCCATTGCAGTGACCTTCATGGTTCACTGCGAGAATGCAGAAGTCCAGTCTCAGCTGGTAAAATAAGAGAGGCTGAAGTTATTTCATGAGATGGCACAAGATTTCTGCTGTTTCAAGGTTCTCAGAGAGTGTTTAACAAAGTTCCTCCTTAACTGTCCTTAAAGGAAATGAACTGCCATGGAGGTGGAGGGTAGTTTTTTCATTAATTGATACCTAGTTAAAGTGTAGGAAGACTTGTCAGCTTTTCTAGCAAAGGGTAAGCACTAGTGAAATCCCAGGGGGATCTGTGTTCAGGCTTGTGTTGCTCAACATAGTTATAAGTGATCTGGAAGAGATTAAATAATGAAGTGACGCTATTTGCTGAGAATCGCAAAATTAGGGTAACTGGAAAAAAAAAAGGTGACTGGAGTTGCAAGAAGTTCTCACAGTACTTCATTGTAAGCAAGTGATGTTTGATACTAGTAGATATAAAATAACGTGCACAGTGAGAAACAACTAATTGTGTCTACACAGTGGTGAGCTCTGAAGAAACTGTGCCATTCAGGGAAGATAAAGCTCTGCGAAACTCACTCCTCAACAGTCAAAAAAATCAAGTAGAAATGATAGGAACTACTAGGAAAGGAAGGGGGAGCGAAACAGAGTGCCACAGTGCAAATTCATGGTATGCCCGTATAACGAATAACGTGCGCTCCTGGGTCTCCCCTCTCAAAAGAGTTATAGTGAGACTGGGGAAAAAATGCAGGAAAGCGCAAGTGGAAGTCTATAAATTCAGGAATGGTATAGACAATGTGAATACGGATCTAGTGCTTGCACTCTGTTTCAGTACAAGATCTTGGGGTGTTAAAGAAAGCTGGCAAGTGGCAGAATCAAAAGTGGGTGGTAAGTGGTTAATGCCTTGCCAAAGGATGTTGTGGCTACAAAAGTTTCTGTGGAATCCAGGAAACAGTGGACAATTATGTGAAGAAAAACCCTTTGAAGATTGTTAAATGCCCAGAAACCACATCCAGCTCCACGAGTCTCCTAAGCTGAAAACAGTTGGAGGCCAGGAGAGTACTCCTGCGAGGTATCACGCGTCTTTACCTTTTTCTAATGCTGTTCCTTGACCTTTGGCAAAAAGTCACTGTTGGAGACAAATACAGTTGTTTCTGTGTTCTGGTTTAATCAGAATTCATAGGGATGGGATGGGATTCATCTAATTCAAGTGTTGTCGTCTCAAAATTAGATTGGTTTTTAAGATCAGTAGGATCATCCGCCTTTTTGAAATGCATGCTTCGCTCCATTGCATACAGAGAGAAGCTAAATGCTTCACTTCCAGTTAGCTGACTTAAATTACATAAATCTCCTTTTTATTGTTCATATTTTTGTAAGAACACTGACAAATTATGGAAAGACTTCAGGAAAGAGCTACAGCAATGCCTTTGAAGACATCTTTCTTCCAGACTTAGGTGTCTCTGCCGTTCCTGGAAAAGGCGAATTGTAGTATGTCAGTACTTGTAGGTGAGGAAATCTCTCTTCCTGAAGGGTTCTTTAACTTTGCAGGAAGAAAGCCTGATGCTTCTTTGCTGGAACCTGATGTTGAACAGATTCTAACTGGAAATAATGACACCCCCTCCTCCCTTTTTTTTTTTTTTTTTTAAACAGTGAATAAATTAAGCATTGAAGTACTTGGGGGGAAAAAAACATATTAAGAGATGCGCTGTAGATCAGATAGGAGTTCTCAATTTGACTAGGTCCAAATCCTGTGACCTGGGTTATGAGGGAAGTCAGGATTTGTAGCCATAATGGTCCATTGTGGTCTCTAAAGCATGGAATGACTTGGTGCTAAAACCTCTTAAAACTAAATTCAGGATGTCTGGCCAGTGTAAGAGGTGTAAGCTCCTCTACTCCTAAAGCTTTGCAGACACAGTCACTAACATTTTTGATTATAGCTGAAGTCTGTGTATGGGTGTTGCATCTCCACTGGGCACGAGGATTGAAAATAGAGAACAACTGGCAGTTCTCATCTAAGTCCTGTGTATAGGGCTCACTATGCATGCTGTTAGGGCATCAGAATATGCCACTGGCTGTCAATGTAAGAAATTTAGGATAAAGGAGTCGCTCAAAGTGAGTTTCTTGGGTTTTTTTGTTTTGTTCTGTTTTTTCTTTCCTCCCCTACTTCTAGACTTGCTCAGCGCTGAAGGAAAAGTTACGGCTCTTTAGAGTCCTGTTCAAACTATTTTGGATGGTTATTTGTGCAAGTAATAGCAAATTGTAAATCAGATCTTTGTTGTGGGGTTCAAAATGGTTTACGTTAATGGTTCATTCTAGCATTTCTGCTGAATTCAACAGTGGATTTGGTGCAAGGGTTTCCTACCACAGCTACTGCTGGTGGAGTTGCACCATAGCTGGAGCATCTGCTGATGTTTTTAATACTGGATTTTCTAAGATTTTTCAGTGATTATATCTAATACTGTACAAAATGCCTAGTGGCCACGTGAACCTTGTCCATTCTGGTATTCCTACCATTCCTTACTACAAGGTCAACAGGCTTTTCATATATCAGATGAAGCTCACTATGTCAGGGGTCTCATTTATAGCCTAGCAAAAACATAACTCTAACTGGCAAAACACTGGGACAAGAAGTTTTGGAGAGTTGAGAGGAGCCACTGTCTACATCCATTAACTTCAAGCATGCATTTGGTGGTTTTAGTTGTAGATTTTGTTTGAATTTGGTTCTCACAGCTAGGGAACTTCATGTGCCAAGGTTAGTTAAACTGGCTTCTTTATATGTCTTGGAAGAAAAGACAAATCTGAAGCTAGTATCTTTGTACTTTGGAGAAAACCTTTTGCTCCAAACAGGAGCTGCCCGTGTGCCACAGCGGCATCTGCTCAAAACTCCAGATCTGAAACGACTGTCAAGGGTCAGCTGTGAGGGAGGAGCAGGTGATACGCGAGTACAATAACGGTGAAAGACTGAATCTTTTCATACATCTTCCTTTCATAGGTCCATTAGAAAATGCTGATGAAAAGTATCAAGAAAAAAGCAAGCTGGGTGTTAGGTGACCCAGCCACCGAAACAGCTGGTTGGGCCACTGGAGCAGCGCCTGCTCAGCTGTGTGATCAGAGACCCTTTGGCTTTCATGGGGCTCATTTGGCTTTCATGTCAGCTCCTTCAGGAGCTGCAGAACAGCTCTCTAACAACTGAGTGAGTTGTGTTATCTATTCTGATCTCCTTGTGCTTTTTAACCTTAAAGTTTACTGTATTCTGACTTGAGTCAGATAGTGAGAAAAATCATGATGCATTTCAGGATCTGATACTATTCTGTGCTGGTTTTTGGAATTAAAGCTCTTGTAAGATTAGGAGAAGGATGCTCCCCCCCTGCCCCACGGCCTGTTACTGGATGAAATACTGAAGACTGGTTGAAAGATGTCTTTTACAAGAAAACATCACTTCTTTATTTACCTGCTTTTTTCTTGTATAATGTAATATAGCTTGTTCCCAAGTCCATTCTGTTCAGTGAACTATAAAACAAAAATCAAGCATTTCTAAATGATAAGAGAGTGCAAACAGTTACGTGCTGGTTTTTGGCACCTCCAGCTCCTCCAAGAGATTGGACCTGCTTCCGATTACATAGACACGATGATACTTCTGAAACCTCACTGATGTCTGTCCAATGGCAAAACTACTTTTGATTTTTTTTTCCTTCTTTCTTTGCCACTTGTGCAGAAATATCAAACTGAAGAGCTTATTCTACCATCTCTTTTACTAGAAACGAGTGTGGTTGCATAGTGGTTGAACAGGGTTGCATACTCTCGTGTTATGCTGGTGTAGCGAGGGCTAATTCATGCCCTACTGTATGCTATAGTGGTTTGTAATGTCCAATTATTATTAGTGCTAGCACTGGTGATAGGAATGCAAGAAGATCTTGTTGCTTAGTTTGAAGCTTTCAGAGGCAATAGAGGCCTGTCCTGTGGTTTTCTAGATCACAGCTTGCAAGTCAGTCAAGTGCTGGGTGACAGTCCCCATGCCAACAGGTTGTCATTGCTCAGTTATTTAACTCCAGCGTAATCTTGACATGAATAGAATTTCTTGTGTGTTTTATAGAATAACCTTTTATATTATTAGTATCTGCAATAATTTATTCCCTTGAAAAGCGATTCGTGTCTTGCAATCGCACAAGAAGCCCTATTCATTCACAGTTTATGCTGTGAAACCAATCCTGTATCCTCAGGGTTGGAGTTGGTTTCATGGCAGCAGTCCTAACTAGAAAGCCTGTCTACAGTGTATCTGAACTGGGGGCTGTTCTAGAGTCACAACTGGAAAGAAATGGCAGGCTGAAAAGGATGAAACAAGAATGTTTCCTCTTAATGCACTCAGTCTTTCCATTGTTACTATTCATAAACAGTAGGTTTTAGTCACCAGCAGAAAGTCGCAACAAAAGCCCATTCAAGCTAAGTTTGAGAACAGATTCCCAGATCTGGTAACAGAAAGACTCTTCTCTTAGGCTTTGTCTTGACTAGTTTTACGGGCTGGGTCATGTTTACTGGCTCATTCTAAAATTATACTCGGGCAAGCTGCAAGGTGAGCACATGCTACTCTGGTCAAGTGAAGCCAGTGGAGAAGGAAGAAAAACGGTTTCTACCCTGCATATGTGTGCACTTGTGCTGCCTATGCATTTTTAATGTTTTTGTCCTACGTAGCTAGAGTCAAGTACTCTAGCACCTTGAATGACCTTTAGCACATTTTTGCGGATGGTGAAAATAAGGCGCGTAGTAAATAATCACTGAGGAGGCGCTAGTTAATCTGGCTGAAAGCAGGATATCTGTTTTCAGTATTGATTCTTTGATTGCTTCCTTCCTTGACGCAGCAGTAAAAGTGCCGAAGATATCTGAGCAGAGGCAGAAGGTAGTAATCCTGTGTTAGTTTTGACAAGTTTGTGTCTGGATTGTGTTGATACCTGGATGTAATAGTCCCAAAGAAGTACAGACAAATTGAAGGAGATTAGAGAATGCAGAAAATGCAGCTGGAGGGCCTGGCTTTTACTAAAGCGAAAGGGGCAGAATATTTGTAACGTGGCTGAGCAACCACTTAGGGCATAAGCACCGAAGTCTGGGAAGCGTAAAGTGGAGATGGCGAGAAGAGCTTCTTAAGTTGTTATTGGGGCATAGCTGGAAATACAAAGCTGAACTGAAAAAGAGACAATTCAGGATGAGAATCTGGGAAATGTCTTCATCAAAGAGCTCTTTGTGGAATAATCTTCTTAAGGACTCGAGAAGCTTCATTGTTTGAAGGTGACTTAAGCTATTGGAGAAAGTGATTCGGTCCCAGTGGAACGGGTACACATATAAGGAGAATTTACCCTAGGAGCAATATAGGAAAAGGAAACTGTGAGTCTAACACATTATTTCCCGAAGTAAGGAATAGCTTCCATCAAGATACAATTTTTAGTAAGTTACTTCCCAGATTAGGTATAACCCAGGCTGCTCTTTGGTGCCAAAATGATTGTGAGGTAAGCAAGTAAGAGGAGAGAGGACTTGAGTGACTGTGAAACAGCAGTCCCTCCTCGCTGTTTGTGACAGCGGGAGTAAGGAGCTCTGAGAACGAAAATCCTATGATTTTCAGAAGCAATATTAATTCTTGCTTTGGATCTGCTGTTCTATGACCTCCACTTTCTCTAAGTATTTTATAACTTTCATTTCAGGAAATGCCAGACAGTTTGTTTGTGGTTGGTGGAGACTCAGAAGAGGATAAGTGGCAGATCTGTTCCCCTGTAAGTGCTGGAGAGAAGACGCTGTCTGGAAGACCAGGGACGATCAGACTTTTTGGAGACAGGGAAGCATGGGTTTTCCTGTCTGAACAAAGCCCCGTAAGTCTTAGAAGATGAAGACGTTGGGGAGCCAATAGTAGTTTTTAAACCGTGGCTCTGATTCAGCAGAGCATTAAACACACCTGATAGTGAAGCCTGAGAGGCAGTGACTGGAGGGAGTGGAGTCTTATTACCTAGGTTTATGCCTGACGGTATAAGCGCCCCAGGGTTTACAAATGGTTCTGTATACGCCCTTTATCCCCTGGCACCCTGACTCACTGCTGTGGCTGGGGCACACCCTATACCTCTGAACATCCCTCTGGAAGGCCCTCCCTTGCCTGTGGGGCTTTGGGGTAGTGCCAGTGAGTGCAGAGGGATGCAGGAGGGGGTAGGCACAGAAATGTGCTGTGAAGCTGGCCCTGGTACAATGCTGAGCTTGGCCCATGGTGTTTGATAGGCAGGTGGCAGCCTGTCAGAGATACCAGCATGGGAGCTGGAGTTGTTGTTAGCGCTTCGCTTCAGATGCAGTCATTGCAGGGGTTTATATAATCCGAAGAACAAACCGGGAAGGGTTCTTTAGCGTGCTGTTCGGCCTAATTGCAATGAGTGGACATGAGACGTTGCGAATTTCCTCCAATAATCTTAAAATCGATGCTGGTCAACTGCTGAGAAAGGCTTTAAAACCTGTAAAACGTGAATGTTTGGCAGGGTTGTGCCATCTACAGTCCTTAATCACAGCAGCACCAATCTCTAAGGTACTCCCCTTTGTATGATACATTCAGGCTTGTGAGCTAAAATGCATGTGGCGCAGTCCTTTCAGCACATGCAGGTCTGGCCTTTCGCAAAGTGCTAGGTATTTACCTTTGAAAACAACACCAAACAAACCCGTGCTGCAGTGTGACTTAGCTGTGATGTAGGTGTGTTTTATGAAATGGATTTGTGTTTGTGCAGGAATTGAGGGTGCTCAGAATTTTCAGTGGGGGTGACTTCATTTGATTATTGAAGCATTTATGAAAGATGGAGTGATGTCCAAAACTTAAGACCCTTAAATCCAAGATTTCTTATCTTTTAATAATGAAGTTCAGCAACCTTTGTTCATATCTGGTGCAATTTTGACTATGTTGATAAGAAATGCAGGTAGAAGCTGCTGTGGCTAAGTGTCAAACTCTTTCCATTTTCAGTTTTCACAGGCTCAGCCTTTATGGAAATATTATTTTCTGCTCTTGATATCTACACCAACAGACTTATTAAATAAGTCTTCTGCAATTTATGGGTTTTAGGAGAATGAAAAACAGTTATTTCTCTTTAGAATATTTTGCTTCAGTCCCAGAGACCTTTTGTAAAAGGCTAATTGAAACCAATGTGGCCTTTGCTAAAGGCCATGTGTTCTTAGAGGCTTTGCTCTGGGCTGTTTGCAGTTTTTTGGGTTTTTTTTGTTTTGTGTGTGTGTGCGGTGTTTTTTTTTGTTTGTTTGTTTTTAAAAGGATCTGGAGATCTTGGAAATCCTGAAAGTGCTTTCTTCTGTTGCTCTTTTCCTTCTCTTTAGAGAGTCTTGGAAAAAGAAAGCCAGAAATTCACAATGTGATCAAAATGTTTTTCTCCATTAGAATCAAACATAATGTTTTGTTCATTTGGGTGGGGGGAAGTAAATCTGAAGAAAATTAATACGAGCGGTTGAAATAAATAGAGCCATTAAAATGGCAACACGCAGGCAGCCCATGTATAAATATAGGCTAGCTCCTCAGCAGTGTTCTTACATGGTAGAACTGAGGAAAGGAACAATGTCAGCGTACTCTTACTCTCTAGAAGCATGAATGTTGGTTATAAAGGCTTAGTGTCATATACTTAGTATTAGACAAGGCTGTATATTGCATGGGCATGATAATGACTCTCACATTTTTTTTTCTTGCAGGGACCTACCTTACCAGCGTGAGAGGGGGATCATACAAGCGTACTGTGGATTCTTTGTACGTGCTACTTGATTGTGGTCTATTTCTTACTGACCCACCCAAAAAGAGAGAAGAAGAATCAAGTGAAAATCGTTGTCTTGCCACTTCTGCCTGAGAGCTGGCTGAATGTTTTGACGCCTGCTGGAGAAACTACCTGGGCTATTAGTAAGGGAGCAGCTGGCACTGCATCTCTGGTCAGCAAAGCTCTCTGCATGGAGTACAATGATCAAGTTGCCTTAAGTCAAACCATACGCAAGTTGCACTAATTGCTGTAACTGTGTTGCTAATACCACTCCAGACTCTACTAGAGCTTTCCAAGACAGTACTTTCTCATGTAGTTTGAATATTTTCAATTGACATTTGAATGTTTCTATTAAATCTGATGTGGCTGTGAAAAGTGGAGGGGGTGAATTTTTTCCTACTAAGTTCATGGTGAATTTTGAAGCCTTATTACCAAGTGGGATTCATGCTATGGCAGCAACCTACAGGCTTATGGTCACTACTGTGAACTGCTACAGCAGTGTGGTGATAGACCGTCACTTTCAGCACGCTGTGCATTACTGCACAGGGACTTGCCAGGTGTTTAAGCAAGGAGTCACGTGTTTAGTTGCTCATCACGGTGTTTGTGCGGAGCTCAATGTCCAAGATGACAACCTAGACAATAAGCTTCCTGTTCCTGAAAATGGATTTGCCTTGCCTGGAAATGAGGACGATCACCAAATCCTCCCAAGTAACCCGAGGCTCAAAAAGGGCTCTGCAATGCAAGCCACTGGCAGTTTAAAAGACATTACTGGGGAGGCAATAAACCTTGCCAGTGGTAAAATAAAGGAGTTCTCCTTTGACAAGCTCAAAAACTCTTCCAGTCACGTGGCCTACAGAAAGGGAAGGAAAGTTCGATCAGAATCATTCAGCAGACGATCTTTTGATTTTGATTTGATTTATGGGCACTTCAACAATGATGAGAATTGCCCTCCGTGTGGCTTCTTGCAGAGCCCCTCACCTGGGGAGAAATGGCAGGAGAGCAATGACTCGCCAGAAGTCAGCATGAATTCCATGGCTCCCTTCTCCGAAGAAAACTTCATTACCCAAATTTTGGAAAAACACAAGCTGGACGGTTCTTCTGGTGGAGATATTAAGGTGTGCTTAGACATCCTGCTCAAGTGCTCAGAGGATCTGAAGAAGTGCACAGACATCATAAAGCATTGCATCAAGAAGAAGTCTGCAGATGGCGTTAGTGCGGGCAACAAAAGCGATCCCCTGGCTAATTCAGAAATAATATATATGAATCTGATGACAAGATTTTCTTCGTACCTAAAAAAGCTACCATTTGAGCTCAAGTCACCTGGGCACAAGGAAGCGAGTGACTTGGCAGACTTGGTTAACTGTTTTCATGACTTGCAGCAGACTCCCTTTTGCACAGTATTTGGAGATGAGCAACCACCTAGGTATGAAGATATTATCCAGCTGCCATCCTCAGGAGCAGTTCCTCTCGGACTACCAGGTGAGCAGTGTGAGGTGACAAGCACCACTCAATCCATCCAAACAAGTACTGTGAGCTTTACCTCAAACTCCCTTCACAGCATCACACAGGAGAGCGGCGCGAGGGCTGTGAAAGATGCTTGCGCTCTACCTCAGTTACCCACCACAAGCCCTTCTGACTGCACATCTTCCACGGAGGCTCTGTACATTGAAGAAGAATCAGATGGGGAAAGAGCATTAGAGAAGGTAAAGAAGGCAGAAGAGAAAGGTGACTGGGAGAGTTTAGAGCACAGCTACCAGCCAACTGGCTGTTCAGATCTAACTGCAAATGTTAAAGCAGAACGTGCCAGAGTGGGAGCTGATAAACTCGCCCACACTTCTGAGAAAATTACTCTTTTAAAACCAGGTTTGGATACTGCTCTGGGTGGTTCCCAAGCTGGTGTCTCCAAAGGAGAACAGAAGTGCGGTAAAACGGACAGAGATGAGATAGACAAACTGCTGCTGGACTTGGAGTGCTTCTCACAGAAAATGGAGAGTACTTTGAGGGAATCATCTCTAAAGGAGAGTGAACCTGCCTCTTTGCAGGTGTTTGGCTGGCAGGGTAGGCAGGTACTACCTCTGGCTCTTGAACCCAAAAGCAAGCCCATTGATCCCACTAACTCTTTGTCAAAAATCATGGAAACCAACGGTCATAAAATGGAAGAAGATGACAAAGCCCTTTTACTGCGTATCCTGGAAAGCATTGAGGACTTTGCCCAGGAACTGGTGGAATTCCAAACGGGCAAGGGAAGCTTGTCCAAGGAGAAGGAAGTAATGCGGATTCTGCAGGAAACTTTAACAACTCCTTCACAGTCCCTCCTTACAGGGCAAAAAAGCTGTACTGGGGCTGCCTCCAGAGACTCTGTTCCAGCTTCGATTCAGCAGGCCCCAGAAGTGATAAAGGTAAGAGATCCAAGCCTTTGACTGCACATTGAGTAAAACAAGCATGGGAAAATGTTGGGGGGAAAAAAAATTGAAGTGCTAAGTGAGTCCTTGTGCTTTGGCTGCTGCAGTGTGGAATAACGCGCCAAATCTGGCAGAAATGTAGCATTTATTTAAAAAAACAAAAAAACAAAACTAAGAAAACAAAATATCCCTTGAAGTACAGTTTTATTGAGTTTGTCCCGTTCCTGCTGGGGATTCTGTCAGCTGAACAGGAACGGGACAAACTCAATAAAACTGGGGATTCTGTCAGCTGAGTTTGCGTGTAGTTCAAGTAGGTCCTATATAACAGGAGAGAGGCAAAGTGCCATATTTTCAGATACCAGCTCAATACCCACCCATCTTCGATGTGCACAGTAAGTATGAAGAGGGCTTCACTTTCCAAAGTTGAGCTTCCACTTGGGCACTTGGGAAAGTGTCCAGATTATCAGAGAGCTGTCAATGCCCCTTCCAGATGGAGCATGCTTTGTGTGTCTTTCAAACTATGGGCTTTCCTGAAAATACAAGTATTTGGTGTGATTTTGAAAGGAAGAAAAGGGTTTCTGGCCCTAAATGGCAGCGCTGAGACCTTTTTGGACTAGGCTCTCTCCAGGTATTTCTGATATTTCTCTGGACGTGTTTGCTTATGGAAAATGATGAGGGCTTCTCTTATGAGTTGCAACACAGCCCTCCCTTTGCTGTAGACACCTAGAGCCAAAGATCACGAAAGAGAATAATCGTCTTGGAGACGCAGAGGAAATCCAGGAGGCCTTGAGGGGGGCCTGGGCCAAGCACTGCGCAGTGGTGGAGGTACAGAGGGAGTTAGCCCTTAGCAGAGTCAGTGCAAAACGTCTGAACTGCTGGCTCTACAGGTCAGAACTTACCCTGGGGTTGGGCTCCTTTTATAGTATAGATGTGGCCACACACTTGAGTAGGCCATTTCTAGCTATGGGATTTAGGAATAACTTCATCTTCCAGGATACCTTTGCATCTGTCTGGAGCCCCATGTGGATTCTGATTCAGTGTTGCGTGTGCATGCCTGAATAATATGTAAATTATTTGTTATAATTTCTTGGGACTTTTTAAACTGTTATCAAGTCCATGGACAAAAAACCCCCCACAGATCTATTAGTGATGAAAACACAGTGCAACTTTCACTTCTGAAGATTATGGCAGTTTTAATACCCCTCAAATCCCAAGCAATGAAAAAGGAAAGGGAAGGCCGCTTCAGAGCAGACCGCTGGCTGCGGTTAGCCTATCTGTGTTGAAATCTGTGCTAACTTATATCACCAAGATACTTTTCCTTTATCACAAAACCAATTATGATTCTCCACAGAACAATAGAATTACTTGCCTCTTCACTTTCAAAACCAAAATATTTAGAAACTAGGAAATGAATACTCAAAAAGCCCATCATTTTACCGAACACATAATGAGCGCATCACGCCTCTTTGAGGCAGGCCAGGAAGTATTGCATACTTTTAGACTGTCCAACACTTCCCATTCTGAGATCCAGTTTTCCGTTGCTTATCTCTAAACCTCCAACTATTTGTTTTAAAATTTCCTGTTCTGTGTGCTTGTCTTAGGCTGATTTTTTTTTTAATATGATGTTTTTAAAAGAAGTGTTTCAGTGAAAACAATGTAGCTGTCTGTGAAAACAAGGCTAGAGAAAACCCATATTTTTCTGAAACAATAAACAAATAGAGGGAGCGAGGTTTGTAGTGCAAGGTAGGGGTTTTGTTTTGTTTTTTATTTTTAAAACTTAACTGATATTACTGGAAAAAGTGAACCTGTTTTCAAGATTGAGAAGGGTTGGAAACCACCAAATAATATCTCTGGGCTTTCTGTCTACTCTTGCACTTTGATCTGAGAAGGTGCCTTTTACACTGTCCTCGGAGGCGCAATGCAGAGGGCTGAACCCAGTGGGGGAAGCCAGGACCCCCTAGCTCCTCCATCTTTCGTGACCCTGCCACCCCTTGGTGCCTAGGGATGCAAGGGAAGATGTTAGCTGCAGGTGGAACAAGACCCCAGATCTGGGGTGCCCCCAGATGGGAGGGCAGTAAGGAGCAAAGCCTGGTTGGACTGGCAGATGAAAAGGGAATGGGAGGAAACAGCAAGAAAGGTAGAGATTGGGCCGAGAGAATGAAATTTTCTGGAGAGGAAAACCCAGAGTACATGCTAGCTTTCTATAATATTGTCTGTGTGCAGAAGTTGGGATTCTCTGATGTGGTTTGCAAAGTTACAAAGTGTCAGGGTTTTGGGAAGTCAAAAGGCAAATGCTGTCTCATGCGCAATCCTCTGAAAAGTTGGTGGTGCGTATTTTTGCCTTTAATCTCTCCATGCCCTTGGTTTGCTACCTGCAAAGGATGGCTAATTTGACAAAGTACTTCAAACTTACTTACTTAATGCTTGCAATTTTGTATTTGCTCAGTGCTCAAGTGAGAGAACCCTAGAAAAGTCTGTAAGAAACTTATCGATTCTGTTTTCAGAATCAAGTTTGAACAGTGCAGGGCTCTGTTCCAAGTCCTACTCATGCATTTTATTTTAAGAGCTCTTGGATGAAGTTTGTGAATAACTTGGGGAGCAGAGACGAGGGTTTGATGCAAAAAGAGGCCTCTCTCATGTGCTTCCTCTGTTGGGTGTCTCTTTCTCAGAAGATTACTCATGGTGCAGTGAGCCAGAAGAAGCAACCCTGCTTCTCGTTTCTTTCTTCCTCATGCCTCTGCTTCCTATTGCGTGATTTTGAATCTTCTCTGATGCCTGTATATGAAATGTAAATTGAGGTTAAATTAGTTTTCTGCCAGATTAGCAAGTGGAATTGCTCACATTGGGTCAAATGGATGGAACAGCTGCCTCTGGACAGGGATTGTGGATGTGAGAGCAGAGGGTGGGGGAACAGGATGTTCCCTTTATAGTGACACTGGGTTGATAAAAGGTCTCAGACCGTCCTGTGTGACTGCATCCCATCTCTAGTGGTGGAGCCCTGATTCAGGCACCCTGAGGCCGGTCCCTGCTGCTTGGTGTTTCCTCTGGGCTGACTCTAGGTAGCATCCACCCAAGCCTGACTGGCCGGTATGACTAGCGTGGAGGGGAAGGTGGACACCGCTGAGGCTTTTGGAAGTGTTCTTAACGTCTGTGCTCTGAATCATTGTCCTCGAGGCATGCACCTCACTTTTATGCGTCAAAATGTCTGTGTTGCGTACTTATAGTGGTTGGCCTGAAGATGGCTCCGAGTGGAATTAAAGACTGTTTCATAATCATGTAAAGTTGACTTGGCAGCAGCATAATTCTGCCCCTTCAGGATGCTGCTTCATAATTCAGAGCGCTTCATTGTGCGCCTTTAATGATATGCTTCTGAAGGAATTTGTGTGAGGCAATTAACTACGAAAAGTGTCTTCTCTAACATCGCAGTGGCTTTGACCTGAAACAATTGCTTTTTCTTAAAATACCTTCAAAATATAATAGAAAACTTTTCTGAAAAGTCAGTTTTCATATGCACGTACTCAAAATTGTTTTGATCAGATGTTGCTTATATCTGCCAATTAAGCTGCATATATATCTATGCTCTTTTCAAGCATCAATTGTTCATGCTTTCTAAACCCAAATGGTTTTAAAAAAGACAATTTTGTTTCATAGCAGTTATTAAAATAAATGAAAACAATAAATGAGTCTTGAAAAGTATCTCAGAATAAAAGACGATGGAAAAGAATGAAATTAGATTAATTAAAGAATTAAAAGAACTAATACTGAACACTTAGGGGGATGTTCATGGCCCATGGGTGCTCTCTGTGATCAAGGGAGATGCACAGGCTCTGCTTGCATGAAGTTGACTTATGTTAAAGTGAACATCAAAAAGTAGGTAAAACAAGGCCTACTGATACATGTTGAGTTGTTCAGCCTCATTGACTCTAAAACCAACAAAAAGTTGTGCTGTTGCTGGAGAAGTTAAATATGTTTTGGAAACAGTTGGAGCTGATGCCCTTCACAGCTGTACAGAGTGCATTGAATTGTTGCAGCCCGACTTTGGGGTACAGCTAAGTCCTGTGATGATAAATTATCCAAATCTTAATTGGACTAAGCCTCCTGCATTAGGTGCAGGTGAGATTCTTTCTATGTTTTGGTGGCCAAAGAAGGCAATCAGATACCTCTTTAGATGTGACATCTCTCACCTTCCCGCTTTAAAGGGGGTCACTTGTAGTGAAGAGTAATTTCTAAATTTGACTGTTTTGTTCAGTTGATCCGTAGGCTGTTGATCCAAGTTTTTTATGCTGCTGATTTTGTCCAGTTGACTCTGAAATTGTTGATATAAGCTGTCAATTTCTCACAGTACTGAATGTTTCTGTGTCTATGCATCCTGTCCTTGTGTGTTTTGGGGATCACAAGTAACATGCTTGGAACCTGCTATATTGCAAAAACTTGAAATTCGGATGTAGCAAGCCCAAGCTCCGGATCACTTATGTTTTTTGAGGTTACCAGTGCTCTTCCTCTACTTTAGGTACCCTGTTTAACTGCCCAAGAGCTCATCTGATAACACCTTTGAATACTGCATTCAGTTTTTTGTCCCCTCATTGTAAAAGAGTATGTTAGAGCTGGAAAAGATCCTGAGAAGGACGGTAAGGGTGAACAAAGCCACATAATGTCTTCCATACAAGGAAACTGGTAAAGTAAACTGGCAAAGTAAACTGGTGCTTGTCATCCTGGAAAGTCTTGGAAGGTCTATGATAGAATCATCAGTATCATAGAGGGGGTGAATAGGGGCTGATTATTCTCCTACTCTTGTGACGTAAGAATTAGGTGCTACCAAATGACGGTCGAGGAGCCAGGTTCAAAATAAATGAAGGGAGGATGTTCTTCATGCACCAGCTAGCCAACGCGTGGAACCCCTTGCTACAGGGTGCTGTGGATGCAAAAGGTGTGTGCTGCTGCAAAAGGAGACTGGACAAGTACTTGAGAGGTTAGTAAATGGATAAACCACATCAAAC